AAATGAATTCCATTTAGATTTTTAATTCACATAATGAATTTTTATTCACACCAAAAAATAGAAGATTTAGTGTCATGCCTCTCCTCACTTAACCCCTTCCGGGTCCAAGGCCAAAATGTGAAGTGGTGCACCAGTGTCCAAGAATTTAAAAAAAAAAAATTAGTTATTTTTTCTTATGAAATGCTTGAGAATCTTTTTGTGAAGGTAATAAAACAAAAGGTACAAAATTTGATGGAAAATTATGAAATTATGCTCTCACGAATTTTGATGTGTCAGCGATATTAATGAATCGGCCATTTTGCTGACTTTGACTCCCATTTTAGGCCAATTACATTATTCCAGTCAACCAAATTCTTAGCTACTTCACTAGTATTACTTCTATTCTATCGATTGAGCACAAGAAATCGCCAAGTCAACTGTTTCAACTACAAAATAAAGTGATCGGAAGTTGGTAATTTGGCCAATTTAACACAAAGTTCAAAATATTCCAATTTCAAAATAGGGTCCAGAATAAACGATGTAGGTATTCCTGGCACTAAACTAACATTTCCTCTGTTCATTAGTTACGTTTTGAGGCTTTACAAATAGATTTCATTTTGATTTTTTATTCACATAATGAAGATTTACTGTTATGCAATATTGTAATAATTGTATAAATATCATCACCACATTTGTGAATGTATATTAGACCCACGAGCTGGCGTGTATTAGACGTGTGAGGTCGTTTGTTTACTCTTAAACATCAGCAAAAATTTAACATTTCTGCTACTTTGAGCTCAGTTTCAAGCCATTTCCAGTGCTAAAACCAATCAAAATCATCTCTATTTCTGTAATATGTCTTCCATTCTATCAAATGAGACCAAGAAATCGCAAATACAACTATAAAAAACATACAAAAAAACACTGCAAAGTCGCTGTTTTAATCGAAAATCATGGTCTCAGTTTTTTCTCTCATTATACACAGTGTGCTGCAGGATTTGTTTTATGTGGTGCACACATACCACATAGATGTATTCTCTCATATCTAGGCCCAAATGTACCACTCACAGTTTATCAGAGTGAGCTGAGCTCATGACGTAGATCTACGGTTCGGACCCTGAACGTAAAGCCGTAGATCTACGGGACGGACCCTGAAAGGGTTAAGAGGGTGACAAACCAAATTTTTTTTTTTTGTCCAATTTCAATGGAAGTTTTACTGTGAATTAAGCAGCATTTGAAACCTAGACACTGTTTTTAGTGCCTTTTTCCTTACAGTTAGATATAAAAAAATAAATAGTGCCCTATTCTATAGGGCTTCAAACTCTCTGCCCACTACAAAATTGGTTAAGACATAAAATGTTCTAGTTGACATCAGATGAAAGATAATGAGTTAGGTAATCATATTACACAGACATTTGAGCGAAATGTCAATAAACTGCATTATACAAAATGTTGAAATATTCTTCTTCTTTCTTTCAACAAACCAGCTGTATCCCACCAAGGCAGGGTGGCCCAAAAAGAAAAACGAAAGCTTCTCTTTTTAAATTTAGTAATTTGTACAGGAGAAGAGGTTACTAGCCCCTTGCTCCGGCATTTTAGTCGCCTCCTACAACACGCATGGCTTATGGAGGAAGAATTCTGTTTCACTTCCCCATGGAGATATGAGGAAATAAACAAGAATAAGAACTAGAAAGAAAATTGAAGAAAACCCAGAGGGGTGTGTATATATATGCTTGTGCACATACGTGTAGTGTGACCTAAGTGTAAGTAGAAGTAGCAAGACGTATCTGAAATCTTGCATGTTCATGAGACAGAAAAAAGGGCACCAGCAATCCTACCATACAGGCTTTCGTTTTACACTCACTTGGCAGGACGGTAGTACCTCCCTGGGTGGTTGCTGTTTACCTGGAGTTTACCTGGAGAGAGTTTCGGGGGTCAACGCCCCCGCGGTCGGTCTGTGACCAGGCCTCCTGGTGGATCAGCGCCTGATCAACCAGGCTGTTGCTGCTGGCTGCACGCAAACCAACGTACGAGCCACAGCCCGGCTGATCAGGAACTGACTTTAGGTGCTTGTCCAGTGCCAGCTTGAAGACTGCCAGGGGTCTGTTGGTAATCTACGAACCTACTACCTGCAATGTTGAAATGTGTGTTTTTTTTTTTTAAGGACTTTTTTGGGAAAAAAAATTCAATAAAAACAAAACAGTAAAATATATTGCAAACCATCTATGTAATTCAATAGAACCATCATTCCTCAATAATGTGTTAAAAAAATCATGATGCTCCTATAAATACTGTTTCCATGAGAGGGAAAATAATGTCTAACTTATTCCTGAGTTATACATAATTATGTTTTATGTAAAGCTCTACAGTTATGGCCTGCCAAATCTGCTCATGTTGCACCCCTCCATCCTTGTTGACAGCCTGCAGGCTACTGAGTTACAATCTCTCTGCACTCTTCACTTCAGTCCTCGCAAAAGTTGCCATGTAAAGTATTTAGACTGAAACAATCAAAAATTTTAATTTTTGGAGTAAAAAAAAAAATACTAATTGCCAACATGTCCTCTTGCTGACAGCAAGAATAAAAAAAATTACATTTTTGGAAAAACATACCTTAAAGTATGATAGAAACAAGCTGATTCCATCCAGAATTATGCACTATTTTTTGGTAAGAAAACACTGTTTTCCATAATTTCATAATTTCATTTTTTATTCGCTCCAAAAAGGTGCATTGCAGGTAGTAGGTTGGTAGACAGCAACCACCCAGGGAGATACTACCGTCCTGCCAAGTGAGTGCAAAACGAAAGCCTGTAATTGTTTTACATGATGGTAGTATTGCTGGTGTCCATTTTTCTGTCTCATAAACAAGCAAGGTTTCAGGTACGTCTTGCTACTTCTACTTACACTTAGGTCACATTACACGTACATGTACAAGCATATACAGGTACCATCCGACTTACGACCAAGTTCAGTTCCGAGAAACTGGTCATAAGTCGAAATGGATGTAAGTCGAACTTAACTACTGAATCTCAACATCACATTTTTGTAATGACTTTATTTTATTGTTTTATTTTGGTATTTCATGTTTTATGCTGTTAGTACTGTATTTTATACTGTAAAGTTTAGGATAAACACTGTGTACAACATAAATAGTTGTTTATTTCCCAGAAATTTGGCATAAAAAACACGGTCCTAAGTCGAGTGGTCATATGTCAAGCAGGTCGTAAGTTGGATGGTAGGTGTATACATGTATACACACCCCACTTTGTTTTCTTCTATTTTCTTTCTAGTTTTTGTTCTTGTTTATTTCCTCTTATCTCCATGGGGAAGTGGAACAGAATTCTTCCACCGTAAGTCATGCGTGTTGTAAGAGGCGACTAAAATGCCGGGAGCAAGGGCCTAGTAACCCCTTCTCCTGTATAAATTACTAAATTTAAAAAGAAGAACTTTCGTTTTTCTTTTTGGGCCACCCTGCCTTGGTGGGATACAGCCGATTTGTTGAAAAAAAAAAAATTACTAAATTTAAAAGGAGAAACTTTTGTTTTTCCTTTTGGGCCACCCCACCTCAGTGGGATACGGCTGGTGCGTTGAAAGAAAGAAAAAAGGTGCGTTGCCCCTTTAACAATGGAGTTCTGTTCCTAAGACCACATCGTTAAACAAATTCATTGCTAAGCGAGGAGCATACTATAATGGCAGTGAGTTTGTGTCAACCATCTTTGATACTGTTTTAATGTCACCTTTGTACCATTTCCGTATAACATTTTCTGATATTTTCTTCTTCTTCTTTTTAGTAATCTGTACAAGAAAAGGGGTTACTAGCCCATTGTTCCTGGCATTTTAGTTGACTTTTACAAAACACATGGCTTACAGAGGAAAGATTCTTATTCTACTTCCACATGGATATAAAAGGAAAAATAATAAGAACAAGAACTATTAAGATAAAATCAAAGAAAACTCAGATGAGTGTGTATAAATAAACGTGCACATGTATGTGCAGTGTGACATAAGTGTAAATAACAAAAAAAGGCACAATACCTAAGTGTAAGTAGAAGTAGGAAGACGTACCTGTAATCTTGCATATTTGTGAGACAGACAAAAGACACCAGCAATCCTACCATCATATAAAACAATTACAGGCTCTTGTTTTACACTCACTTGGCATGACGGTAGTACCTTCCTGGGTGGTTGCTGTCTACCAACCTACCTATTGGGTCACTCTGCCTCGTGACAGCCAACTTGTAAAAAAAAAGATATATTTTTAAATGCTTATACAGTAGTGTACTGTATACTGAAATAAACAGAATAGAGGAAATCAGCTCTAACATACATTATTTAGGTATAAATACTGGTCAGAGAGCCCATCATAAGTTCAAGGCATTGGTAAACAAGTACATCGCTAAGTGTATTGGACGCATGACGTCATTTGTTTACTCTTGAACACTGGCAAAAATCAAACATTCCCTCTACTCTGAGCTCAGTTTCAAGCCATTTTCAGTACTAAAACCAATCAAAATCATTTCTATTTCTGTATATATACACACACATCCTCCATGGGAAGTGAAAAAGAATCCTTCATCCATAAGCCATGGATGTCATAAGATTAGACAACTATAATGCTGGGAACAAGGGGCTAATTACTACTCCTCTATAAATTACTTAACCACCCTGCCTCTATCTTTGGGTGTGTACAATGATATTTTGATCTGACACGCATCACAACTTAAAACATTTCATATGTAATCCACCCATCATGCTTCACCCTCTACCCACACAAGTATAAAATGCTGAATTTGCATTACTTCCCCTTTATCATATTCACACAAAAGTGTTAAACCTAATGGGTCATTCAGTGCTGCTGCTCCCATGAAATACTGGAAGCACTAGCAATAAATAGTATCTTGTAAAGTAAAAGGACACAAGTGCAACTTTACATATTGTCGGTAATTCTACCAACTTTATTACAAATAGTATCTTCACTTGAACTAATATAGCATGCATACCAGTGAACAAGGAAGGTTTCTCACCTGACAGTGTCCACACCAAGGTGCATAAAACTTAATGAAGTGTTTGCCATTTGGAACCATAGTCTTAAACGTGGCATCAGTGTGCTCGACCAAGCCAGTAAGTGCCTCTGGAACTGATTCATGCTCACCATCCTAAAAACAATACACAATTAAAATTGTCACCCAATTTATACAACTACACACTTTTTTATTTTGAAACAAAATACATATAATAATAACTAAATGCATTTCTGCTGTACAACAGAATTTAATAAACAGTAGAATCTTGTACATCATGTGGGTTGTGTTACTAAAACATGTACCTTACACGAAATAAAGACATAAGGGCCGAAGACCACACAGAAAAAATATTGTTACATTCGACACTTTGAGAACCAAACAAATTTTTTGTAATTTTGTAATTTTTTTTTTTTTTCCAACAAGTCGGCCGTCTCCCACCGAGGCAGGGTGATTTATCACAAAAAAAAAAAAAAAAACTAATACTTCGCATTGTAGCTGCCATTGGCCTTAATGAGATTTATGCAGTACAGTAATAAAATATTGTACTGCACTGAACCTGTAGCTAAAAAAGTTACATAAACCCATTTGATCCTATTTTTATTGTTATTTTATTATTACCACACTGGCCGATTCCCACCAAGGCTGGGTGGCCCGAAAAAGAAAAACTTTCACCATCATTCACTCCATCACTGTCTTGCCAGAAGGGTGCTTTACACTACAGTTTTTAAACTGCAACATTAACACCCCTTCTTCAGAGTGCAGGCACTGTACTTCCCATCTCCAGGACTCAAGTCCGGCCTGCCGGTTTCCCTGAATCCCTTCATAAATGTTACTTTGCTCACACTCCAACAGCATGTCAAGTATTAAAAACCATTTGTCTCCATTCACTCCTATCAAACACGCTCACGCATGCCTGCTGGAAGTCCAAGCCCCTCGCACACAAAACCTCCTTTACCCCCTCCCTCCAACCTTTCCTAGGCCGACCCCTACCCCGCCTTCCTTCCACTACAGACTGATACACTCTTGAAGTCACTCTGTTTCGCTCCATTCTCTCTACATGTCCAAACCACCTCAACAACCCTTCCTCAGCCCTCTGGACAACAGTTTTGGTAATCCCGCACCTCCTCCTAACTTCCAAACTACGAATTCCCTGCATTATATGCACACCACACATTGCCCTCAGACATGACATCTCCACTGCCTCCAGCCTTCTCCTTGCTGCAACATTCATCACCCATGTTTCACACCCATATAAGAGCGTTGATAAAACTATACTCTCATACATTCCCCTCTTTACCTCCAAGGATAAAGTTCTTTGCCCCCACAGACTCCTAAGTGCACCACTCACCCTTTTCCCCTCATCAATTCTATGATTCACCTCATCTTTCATAGACCCATCCGTTGACACGTCCACTCCCAAATATCTGAATACATTCACCTCCTCCATACTCTCTCCCTCCAATCTGATATCCAATCTTTCATCACCTAATCTTTTTGTTATCCTCATTACCTTACTCTTTCCTGTATTCACTTTTAATTTTCTTTTTTGCACACCCTACCAAATTCATCCACCAATCTCTGCAACTTCTCTTCAGAATCTCCCAAGAGCACAGTGTCATCAGCAAAGAGCAACTGTGACAACTCCCACTTTATGTGTGATTCTTTATCTTTTAACTCCACGCCTCTTGCCAAGACCCTCGCATTTACTTCTCTTACAACCCCATCTATAAATATATTAAACAACCACGGTGACATCACACATCCTTGTCTAAGGCCTACTTTTACTGGGAAAATAATTTCCATCTTTCCTACATACTCTAACTTGAGCCTCACTATCCTCGTAAAAACTCTTCACTGCTTTCAGTAACCTACCTCCTACACCATACACCTGCAACATCTGCCACATTGCCCCCCTATCCACCCTGTCATATGCCTTTTCCAAATCCATAAATGCCACAAAGACCTCTTTAGCCTTATCTAAATACTGTTCACTTATATGTTTCACTGTAAACACCTGGTCCACACACCCCTACCTTTCCTAAAGCCTCCTTGTTCATCTGCTATCCTATTCTCCGTCTTACTCTTAATTCTTTCAATAATAACTCTACCATACACTTTACCAGGTATACTCAACAGACTTATCCCCCTATAATTTTTGCACTCTCTTTTGTCCCCTTTGCCTTTATACAAAGGAACTATGCATGCTCTCTGCCAATCCCTAGGTACCTTACCCTTTTCCATACATTTATTAAATAATTGCACCAACCACTCCAAAACTATATCCCCACCTGCTTTTAACATTTCTATCTTTATCCCATCAATCCTGGCTGCCTTACCCCCTTTCATTTTTACCTACTGCCTCACGAACTTTCCCCACACTCACAACTGGCTCTTCCTCACTCCTACAAGATGTTAATCCTCCTTGCCCTATACACGAAATCACAGCTTCCCTATCTTCATCAACATTTAACAATTCCTCAAAATATTCCCTCCATCTTCCCAATACCTCTAACTCTCCATTTAATAACTCTCCTCTCCTATTTTTAACTGACAAATCCATTTGTTCTCTAGGCTTCCTTAACTTGTTTATCTCACTCCAAAACTTTTTCTTATTTTCAACAAAATTTGTTGATAACATCTCACCCACTCTCTCATTTGCTCTCTTTTTACATTGCTTCACCACTCTCTTAACCTCTCTCTTTTTCTCCATATACTCTTCCCTCCTTGCATCACTTCTACTTTGTAAAAACTTCTCATATGCTAACTTTTTCTCCTTTACTATTCTCTTTACATCATCATTCCACCAATCGCTCCTCTTCCCTCCCGCACCCACTTTCCTGTAACCACAAACTTCTGCTGAACACTCTAACACTACATTTTTTAAACCTACCCATACCTCTTCGATCCCATTGCCTATGCTCTCATTAGCCCATCTATCCTCCAATAGCTGTTTATATCTTGCCCTAACTGCCTCCTCTTTTAGTTTATAAACCTTCACCTCTCTCTTCCCTGATGCTACTATTCTCCTTGTATCCCATCTACCTTTTACTCTCAGTGTAGCTACAACTAGTAAGTGATCTGATATATCTGTGGCCCCTCTATAAACATGTACATCCTGAAGTCTACTCAACAGTCTTTTATCTACCAATACATAATCCAACAAACTACTGTCATTTCGCCCTACATCATATCTTGTATACTTATTTATCCTCTTTTTCTTAAAATATGTATTACCTATAACTAAACCCCTTTCTATACAAAGTTCAATCAAAGGGCTCCCATTATCATTTACACCTGGCACCCCAAACTTACCTACCACACCCTCTCTAAAAGTTTCTCCTACTTTAGCATTCAGGTCCCCTACCACAATTACTCTCTCACTTGGTTCAAAGGCTCCTATACATTCACTTAACATCTCCCAAAATCTCTCTCTCTCCTCTACATTCCTCTCTTCTCCAGGTGCATACACGCTTATTATGACCCGCTTTTCGCATCCAGCCTTTACTTTAATCCACATAATTCTTGAATTTACACATTTGATCCTACTGTATCTTAAACTCTGGTTGCTGGTGCTTGTTAATTTTAAGATATGTGGAGAGGACTGATGTGATCCTACTAGGCTAATTGGATGTAGTGAGGTCTATAATAATACTCATGCAGCTAAAACAGTTAAGAAAACTAACTTTCCCTTGCCTTAAATTCTTGTTGTTGGCGCTTGTTGACATATGTGTTGTATAAGAGGAATAAACAAACTACTAACAATTCATTGAAGCTTGGGTAAAATAAATAATAGGTTGGACAAATATATGAGTGAGGAGGGTTAGATACGAGAAGGACCTACCTAGGGAGAAACCTTCTGAGCTGTAGTGCTCCCCTATTCTATTTGTATATAACATATAACATGCATGTGTATGTTAGATAGGAGTGAATGGGGACAAGTGGTTTTTGGGACTGACAAGATGTTGGAGTGTGAGCAGAGTACAGTAGGGCCCCGCTTTATGGCGTTTTGCTTTACGGCGTTCCGCTAATATGGTAATTTCAAATTATGACCAAAACTCTCTATACAGCTCCCACCCACCTGACTTTCTAATACGGTCACCATGCCACACCCTATTTGTTTACATTCTATGTGAGATCTGTAAGCACTAAGTCTCTCCATTATGTCTGGAAACTCCAAAATTTCAAGTGTTTTTAAAAGTTATTTCATATTTTATATATACTCTGATAATTATTCTTATGTATACCTGTACCTAAATAAACTTACACACTGTGCTAGCGTGCAGGTACACATTAAAATCAGTAAGAGTGTCTTATGTCTCGAGACACCACATTAGTAATGATGATGATGATGATAATAATCACCGAGTCTCATTAAATGTCATATATTATGTTAATATACATATTTTCATTAATCCATCTATGATGAGTAACTGTAGAAAATTATTCCTTTTGTATGTAAGTTTATTCAGGTATACACAAATACAGTTACAAAGATTATCATACATAGCACATATGTGTAAAGTACCTAGGATAACCCCAAAAAAAGTCTGTGATTTATATCAAGAAGTGTAAGCAACAGAAGTTCAGTGGTTATATTACAGCTTTATACATCATTAGTAAGACCTCACCTAGATTATGCAGCCCAGTTCTGGTCTTCATATTACAGAATCGACATAAATTCATTAGAAAACATTCAGCATAGAATGACTAAATTAATACATAGCATTAGAAATCTTCCTTATGAAGAAAGATTGAAGACCCTTAAATTACATTCACTTGTTAGATGAAGAATGAGGGGAGACATGATCGAAGTGTACGAGTGGAAGATGGGTATTAATAAAGGTGATATAGATAAGGTCTTGAGGATATCTCTCCAAGAGAGAACCCGCAGTAATGGATTCAAATTAGACAAGTTTAGATTTAGAAAGGATATAGGAAAGTGCGTGTATTGGTTTGGAAATAGGGTAGTTGATGAGTGGAACAGTCTACCTAGTTGGGTTACTGAGGCTAAAACCTTGGGTAGTTTCAAATTTAGGTTGGATAAATACATGAGTGAGAGGGTTTGGATTTGAGTGGGACTTGCATATGAGTGGATAGGGTTAACAGAGCTTATTTCTTGGGTGGCATTGAAAATTGGTTGGGCAAATGTTTTGTTAGTTGGATGGATTGTAAAGGACCTGCCTAGTATGGGCCAACAGGCATGCTGCAGTGTTTCTCCTTTCTTATGTTCTTATTTCCATTGCCTTCACTCAGAGCTTCATTTCTTTTAAAAATTGTGTTACATGAGAATGGGAGTGTTGTTCTTTATTTATTCTACAGTATCAATGTAGACACAACTTGTACACAATGTAACTTGTACACAAACCAGACATGTAGACTTCGTTTGTTTACAAAACTTGTGTTCGCCTAGTTTGTTTACATAACTCTGTGCCTGTCCTCCCTCATGTACTCATTCTCTCTCTCCCTCTCTCATTTATTTGTTTCATCTCGTTTACTCACCTCTGACTCTACATTAAGACTACAAATATTTTAAGGTAAGTAATGAGTGTACTATATGTGTAATTTACTTTTTTATTGTTTTTTAATGCCTAGTTCTATTGCTAACTTAGCATATGTTAGTGTAAACTTGTTATCCAGTATTTATATGCATTTATAAGTGGAAAAAAGGGTGTTCCACCTTACAGCAATTTCCACTTTACGGCGGTAGCCTGGAACCTAATCTGTCATATAAATGAGGCCCTACTGTAATAGTTTGTTAAGAGATTCAGCAAAACCAGTTGGCGAGACTCAAGTCCTGGAGGTGGGAAGTACAATGCCTGCACTTTAAAGGAGGGGTTTGATATACTGGCTGTTTGGAGTGATATCTAAACTGTTATATCTGGGCACCTCTGCAAAGACAGTGATCATGTGTAAATGATGGTAAAAGTGTTGAATGATGGTGAAAGTGTTTCTTTTTTTGGGTCACCCTGCCTAGGTGGGAGATGGCTGAAGTGTTGAAAAAAAATAATATAACATGCTGTTGGAGCATGAGCAAGGTAACAATTTATGAAGGGATTCAGGGACACTGGTTAGCCGGACTTGGGTCCTGGAGGTAGGAAGTACAGCGTTTGCACTCTGAAGGAGAGTTGTTTTGATATGACATTTCAGAATGTAATCTGAAATGTGATATCAGCACAATTCGGACAAGTCAGTTATTGAATGAATGACTGTGAATGTATTCCCTTTCTTGAGTCATCTTACCTTGGAGACAATCATTGAGGAAAAAAATATTGGAGACCTGAATAAATGCATCATGTGTAGATTATGAGATCAATCTCATGTATGATCCAACAAGCACTTTCTTATTAATTTGATACAGTTTTAGCATTTTAGATTATTTACTATTACATGTAAACAGTAAAACTTTCCTGTATAAAATATTTTCTAGCTTGGCTATCTCACCTGCCTTGAAAGGAGATGCAAGATTAAATAGCTTGTTCAATGAGGTAGCACAAGTACTTTGAAAAGAATTGAGAGCTGTGGCATCCCTTGTTTAACTCTTAAACTGTCCAAACGTAGATCTACATTTTTTCAACATTTGAAAGCATGTAAAAAAAGTAGAATTTTTTTTTTTTTACATTTGAAAACGTGTAAAAAAACTTTGATCTACTTTTTTTTTTTTGTTATATTTGAAAATATGTAAAAAAAACGTAGATCTACTTTTGGAGCACTATGCATGTGAACGTAGATCTGCTTGGACAGTTTAAGGGTTAACAGGTTCTCATAATTCACTCAAGCAGTGACTTGGTCAAAACTATAACTGCTGTACTAAATGTTGAAAATGGTATAAAATACCAACAAGTTGATGAGTAAGACATGTGCAACAGTTTGCTATCTTTATTGATGAAATGCTTTTCCTACACATTAGGCTTCTTCAGTCAAATACAGAAGCAAAAGGTGTAGTAGAGAAGTAAGGATGATGAAATCAGTCCATCAACCTTGGAGAAATAGTATCTGAGGTGGTCAGTACTTCAGACCATGGAGCTGAACTCTCCTCCAGGCTGAGGGACTGACAAACCTTAGATACTATTTCTCCAAGGTTGATGGACTGATTTCATCATCCTTACTTCACTACTACACCTGCTGCCTCTGTATTTGACTGAAGATTATTATTATTATAATCAAGGGGGAAGCGCTAAACCCGGAGGATTATACAGCGCCTGGGGGGGGATGTGGAAGGCATTCAGGCTTAATTCGGGGAACTGGAGCACAGATCCAATTCCCTAAATCAAGAGCCCCTCACCAACATCAAGGAACCTTCCTTGAGGGGGGATTTGACTGAAGAAACTTACTGTGTAGCAAAATGTTTCAACAATAAAGATACCAAGCTGCTGCTGTACTGTATTTTTTAACACGTAAATGGTTCAAACGTATATATACGTTTTTTCAACGTTTGAAAGTATGTAAAAAAAGTAGATCTTCTTTTTTGATCTACTTTTTTTTTTGTTATATTTGAAAATATGTAAAAAAGACGTAGATCTACTTTTGTAGCACTACACATGTGAACGTAGATCTGCTTGGACCGTTAAGATAAGATAAGATAAGATTTCGTTCGGATTTTTAACCCCGGAGGGTTAGCCACCCAGGATAACCCAAGAAAGTCAGTGCGTCATCGAGGACTGTCTAACTTATTTCCATTGGGGTCCTTAATCTTGTCCCCCAGGATGCGACCCACACCAGTCGACTAACACCCAGGTACCTATTTGCTGCTAGGTGAACAGGACAACAGGTGTAAGGAAACGTGTCGAAATGTTTCCACCCGCCGGGAATCGAACCCGGGCCCTCCGTGTGTGAAGCGGGAGCTTTAGCCACCGCTTCACACACGAGTTAAATGTTAAGTAATCCAACATTATTATTCCTAAATCGTTTTTCTAATAAACTTCATGACACATTCTCGCAAGACAGTAAATGAATTAACAGTAATGAATGTTTCTTTCTTTTTTGAGAAATGTCACATGTACAAAAATAAATTTAATGAAATGACCTTTTACCTACCTGCACCTCAGTCCCCAGCTGTTCAGCGATGAATCTCTCCAGCGATGCCAAGTCTCTTGGGCCTCGATATTTTACACCATTCTGTATCCCCTTGGTGAAGAGTTTTAACCTAAAAATGTTATTCACTTTAACTTAATAAAATCATTTGCTTTTATTACAAAACACTGATGTTTGTTTAGTTTGTTTAGTTTGTTAGTTTGTTGATGTTTGTTGGTTTAGAAAGACACGTAAGCAAACACTATGACATATTTATTAGAAAACGTTTCGGTCCTGGGACCTTGATCACTTCTAACATACAGAGATAGAAAGACATTATATATATATAGGCAGAGAGTGAGGTGTGAGTGACGCACGATGACCTGAAGAATGTCATGTTGGGATGAGGACGGGTAGACAATGAAATCACGTGACTCCTGTGTTGTTGGGTTGGTGGTGCTTAAGTATCATGTATGCCAATGTTTTTGAAATTTTGTAGTTTCCAGTGTTACGTTCTATAGTGTCGGTGACTGCGATTAGTGAGGCTTCTAGGCACCGTCGGCATCTGAGGTCTGGTTCGGTGAGAATGAGTTTTGCCTCATTCCAGTTCATCAAATGCCCCGTGGAGTCTCTGTGGAGGACACAGGCGTACCTTACATCGTCTCTGTTAGAGGCATTCGATGCTCATTCAGGCGGACTGCAAGATCTCTGCCTGTCTCGTGGATTCTGTCCCAAGAAATATGTAGGCGAGACAGGCAGAGATCTTGCAGTCTGCCTGAACGAGCATCGAAATGCCTCTAACAGAGACGATGTAAGGTACGCCTGTGTCCTCCACAGAGACTCCATGGGGCATTTGATGAACTGGAATGAGGCAACTCATTCTCACCGAACCAGACCTCAGACGACGACGGTGCCTAGAAGTCTCACTAATCGCCATCACCGACACTATAGAACGTAACACTGGAAACTACAAAATTTCAAAAACATTGACATACATGATACTTAAGCACCACCAACCCAACAACACAGGAGTCACGTGATTTCATCATCTACCCATCCTCATCCCAACATGACATTCCTCAAGTCACCGTGCATCACTCACACCTCACTCTCCGCCTATATATATAATGTCTTTCTATCTCTGTATGTTAGAAGTGATCAAGGTCCCAGGACCGAAACGTTTTCTAATAAATACTATGTCATAGTGTTTGCTTACGTGTCTTTCTAAACCACTGATGGAGTTGTACTGTATATATATTCAACATAATTTCCCGAAGTAAATAATAGACAAAATTTAAAAAATTAAATTTAATTGCACTTGATTCGACTGAGATTATGTTACTTTATTCCCTAAAGTATCTGTCATTTGAAGAAATTTAAATTAAACAAAATTTCATCAAGAAAAGCATAATGAAGCTCTATTTAGCTACTTCCATTTTTTATTAAAATTTGTCACTCTACAATACAATAATACAAAATATATTCTTTGCAAACCCTTGCAATGTAACAAGCCAATTTATAAATGGAAAATAAGCATTAGGGAAAAGTAGACCAGACATCAAATTCCTTTAGTTACTGAAAATCATGTCCTGGCCAAGTTGAAAGTCCATTAATTCCACTTAAGCATCTATAATTAAGCTTTCATAGATAACATGCAGAATCCTTATAAGTATGTTATCTGTTATAGTTCTGGGGATCATCTCTCCCAGCCTCTTATATTGGAAAGAAAATATTATGTGAGATAGATAAGATCAGCAGTCCTGCCAGAGTGCAAAATGTTTAAAAGGCTTCTATTCACATTCTTATAACAATGTAACTCACACAATACACAAATGAAATCGAAGGTAATGAAAAAATGCCAAAAAAATGAGGAATAAGGGGAAATGTGAGAACTAATTACAATGTGTTGATAGTACATCTGTGGGGTCTATCAGCACCAGCATACAGGCAGGCCCCGCTTTACAGAACATCGCTTTGCGGCACTTTGCTAATACAGTGGACCCCCGGTTAACGAATTTTCACTCAGAAGTATTCAGGTGCAGTACTGACCGAATTTTGTTCATAAGAAATATTGTGAAGTAGATTAGTCCATTTCAGACCCCCAAACATACACATACAAACGCACTTACATAAATACACTTACATAATTGGTCACATTCGGAGGTAATCGTTATGCGGGGGTCACTGTACAGCGTTTTTAATTATACTTCTTCATTCATCAGACTTACTACAGTAAATAATTTACCACTTCATATGAGCTAAGGATGAAAACTTGAAGGTGATGGTGGCATTGAGGTATATGTGGAGACAAAAAAACTTATCTAGAGGCAAAGAAGGGAATGTAATGAAAGTATAGAGTACCAACATTCTTATATGGGTGTGAAGCTTGGGTTGTGAATGCAGCAGCGAGAGGTAGTTGGAGGCAGTGAGAGAGTCCTGTCTAAGGGCAATGTGTGGTGTAATTATGCAGAAAATGGTTGTGGAAATTAGGTGTGGAGTTAATAAAAGTATTAGTCAAGGCTGAAGAGGGGTCTTGAGGTGGTTGGTCATTTAGAGAGAAGGATCAAAGTAGAATGAAGGAGAGCATTAAATCTGAGGGAAGGAACGGGTACGGGTCGTCCTCGAAAAGGTTGGAAGGAAGGGGTAAGGAAGGTTTTGTGGGCGAGGGGCTTGGACTTTCAGCAGGCGTGCACGAGCTCATTCGATAGGAGTGAATGGAGATGAATGGTATTTGGGACCTGACGATCTGTTGGAGTGTGAGCAGGGTAATATTTAGTGAAGGGATTCCGGGAAACTGGTTATTTTTATATAGCCGGACTTGAGTCCTGGAAACGGGAAGTACAATGCCTGCACTCTAAAGGAGGGTTTTGGGATATTGGCAGTTTTGGAGGGATATGTTGTGTATCTTTATATGTATATGCTTCTAAACTGTTGTTCTGAGCACCTCTGCAAAAACAGTGATTATGTGTGAGTGAGATGAAAGTGTTGAATGATGATGAAAGTATTTTCTTTTTGGGGATTTTTCTTTTTGGGTCACCCTGCCTCGGTGGGAGACAGCCGACTTGTTAAAAAAAAGGAAAAAAAAAAAGTAACGTGTGTACTGTATATGCCTTTTTTTAGGCCTAGTTCTATTGCTCACTTAATATATGATAATGAAAAAGGCTATAATTCTCTTTACAGTAATTTCCGCTTTACAGTGGTAGCCCGGAACCTAACCTGCTGTGTAAGTGAGGCCCTCCTGCACTGAGATAAGATAAAAGAAACAATTACTGTATAACTCTCTGATATGGTTAGGAAAACCTTATCAAGGGTAAATATGCACAAGGATGCTAAAAGATGACTTTGAACCTTACAACAGCAAACCTGGATGGATGCAAAGTACTGAATTTATTTGTAATTATGATGCTTAACATATGACCAATATAAAGTGAATAACAAGTCCAGATATCGGAATGTGTGAAAATAAGTGTGTAAGTAAGAATCCAAGCCATGATTGTCCATTTGTATTCACCATCCTTGTAGGCCATGATATTTGTCCCATTAAAAATTTTCTTGACCATAATGCAATTTGTCTCACGTAGGGTATCCTGTGACATCTTGCGAAGAGCAGAGAGCAGTGTGCTGAGTACAATCTACCTTGCCCACTACAATCTCTGCCTTCTCAGTATTGTACTTCTTGCCTAAGTCATCCCATGTTGGACTCAACCGCTTGCAGTGGCCACACCTAGAAAGAAGTCCACTATGAATTAAGTCATAAAAAGCAATAAATCATCTCTACAATTTGACAATACCCAGGAACCTGTTTACCAAGCCTTGTTGGATGTCAAAATTAAATATTGCCCATCTGGTCAATTAGGATATCAGCTACTGGCAGCATTTAATTAAAACAGTAATCTACTACTGTATGATTATTACATTCGGGGGTCCTTGATTCAAGGAATTGGAACACAGTTCAACTCCTTAGATAAAGAGCCCCTCACCAGAATTAAGGAACCTTCCTTGAGGGGGAAACAGTAATCTAAAAGGTGTAGTTAATAATCCATTCATGTTTTCATTTTCAAGTATGGGAGTTATGAGTCATTTATCATCCTGTTAGTATCCCAAAATTCTGCCCATAGATCTTCCCCAGGATGCAACCCATAAAAGTCACACAACCCACAGGTAACAGGAGTAGCAGGTATAAGCAAGCTAGTTAGTTTATTTAGACAATGTACACAAAAGAACAATTATCGTACAGTGTAAATTACCTAGGATAACCCAAAAAAAGTCAGTGACCTAATAATCATAACAACACTATCTTTATTTCTAAAAGTACATGTACAAGGTATACAGTCCTAGCTGACATCAATGACATACTACTACACAGAAAGCTGCTTGTAATGCACCCATTTTTGGCACAATTAAGCCGTTTGTCCCGGTGTGACACACACCAGTTCGCTTAAAACCTAGTGTCCTTTACTGATGAGGAACAGAGAACCGGTGTATAGACACTCGAATTTCGCATCCTCGCGGGAACAAAACTGGATCCTCCAGTGCAAAGCAAGTTAGCACCAGCCCGATGGCCTGGCCTGTTTTGACTGGATCTTTCCGGTCTAACCCCGGAATCTAACACCAAACTACAAGGTACTGTACTTGTTTTTACACGAAAGTTACGCTGTTAGTCAGAAATTTTGCAATTATCATTTTAATGACAGTAGTACTACAATACTGTATAATGGTCCTTTGATGGAATGAGAATGTAGACAATTATACCTGTGTAACACTACATCAGTTTTACTCGCCGGAATCAAACGATCACCGTGGAAGCAAAGCTTTAGCCACCAGGCCACGGTGGCCCGTGGCCTGGTGTAGCTGACTTCTACACCAAGAATGACAATTTATACCACCGAACTACTAGGTACTGTACCTGTGTTTTACCGAGATACGCTGTAGTCAGGAAAATTTACAAATATTTTAATGACAGTAGTATAAATCTGTATAATGGTTCTGAGGCAAATAGATGTAGACATATTATATTGGTACACTACATAGGTTTAACCCAGGATAATACAATAAACACAGTGACTAAATTTCATTGGGGTCCTCTCAATATGTGTAACAAAGTAGGCATACATGTGAAAACCTGAAGGAATTTATTATATTTTAATTAGGAAGAAGTGTTGAACACAAAGGGGAAAATAAATGGTTAAAGATTAAAACTGCTCCTCAGCCATTACAGTTTGAATAGAACAATGTAGCATTAAGCTGTTTTACAGTCGTGATATTTTGCTGTGAAAATGGTAAAATATATAACATATGAAACCTGCTTAAGCCAACCTAAAATAACTCAGCATAACTTAATCTTACCCTGCCATCGACTGGGGCATCTTCACTTACATTAGGTCAGACTTGTGTTACTTGTGTCCCATAGCTTGATTGCTAGTGGACTCAACTAACACACTGAGATCCGTGGTTCGATCCCCGGTACAGGTGGAGGCATTAGGACGTTTCCTTAAGACACCTGCTGACCCTGTTCACCTATCAGTAAAATAAGTACAGTGGACCCCCGGTTTACGATCAGCTCCCAATGCGACCAATTATGTAAGTGTATTTATGTAAGTGCGTTTGTATGTGTATGTTTGGGGGTCTGAAATGGACTAATCTAATTCACAATATTCCTTATGGGAACAAATTCGGTCAGTACCGGCACCTGAACATACTTCTGGAATGAAATAATATCATAAACCGGGGGTCCACTGTACTTGGGTGATAGTTGACTGGTGTGGGTCGCATCAAAATTGACCTAATTTACCCGAAATGCTCTGCATAATAAGGGGCTTTCTTGATGTCTGCTAGGCCTGTATACCTTGTACATGTACATGTAGAAATAACGATTATTATTATTATTCTGTGTTGACTGGCTTGGTTAATACGTATTTCCAAAAATAATAATCAGCATAAAAATTACTTGCCTATTCCTTGGTGTATATATGTTGTTTGTATTATAAAATGTATACAAATCTCGAGTAACATTTAAGCATTAAGATTAGTTTGCTTGATATATATTTCATGTAAGTGGCTTTGTTTTGTGCCTAACATTATTACATGTAAACTGCGTTATTTGTACAGTATGAAGAAATAAAAATTGTATTATATTATTATTTATGGAACACTAAACCTGTATGGGTTGCACAGTGCCTGATGGGGAGGGGGTAATGGGGGGCACTTAATAATGTACAGGATAGCAGGTCCACTTCCTTGGATCAAGACCTTATTGCCTTCAAGGAATCTCCCGAGGGAAGTCATACCATACTTATTATTATATTTAGGGGGAAGAGCTAAATCAGAGGGTGTGTGTGGCATACCTGGAGTATACCTGGAGTATACCTGGAGTATACCTGGAGTATACCTGGAGTATACCTGGAGGGGGTTTTGGGGGTCAACGCCCCTGCAGCCTGGTCATGGGAAGCAAGCAGGTTGATAACAAGGACCCCAATGGAAATAAGTCACTTTGGCTTTTTTTTGGGTTATCTTAGGTAATTTAGGCTATGTATAATAATTGTACTCATGTTGACCAGGCGAGCACTAGACGAGCCTGGCCCATGGCCGGGCTCAGAGTAGATATACTCTCGAAATTCTTCAAAGGTATATCAAAGGTATATGTACCTGTGTCTGAACAAAGTTACTGGCATTTTAGGCCTATAATATCAGTTTATTGAGTATATATGAAATTTCTGAAAAAAGCTTCAACACCTAAATAATTCTCAACAGGTAAAATTTAAAACACACACTTACCAAGGGGCGAAAAACATAATAAAATGAGGGTTCCCTTGGACAGCTAGAGGGAAAGTGTCAGCAGTGAGTGTGAGTGTGTTAGAGCCATGATCCTCAGTACTCACACTCACCACACTTGTTAACACCAGCAAGTACAACATATTTCAGCAGTTAGTGAGTGTAGAGAGATGGTTGAGTGTAGTCAGGAGGAACAACCAGTTGCAGCAGCAGCACACTCAGAGATGGTTGAGTGTAGTCAGGAGGAACAACCAGTTGCAGCAGCAACACACTCAGAGATGGTTGAGTGTAGTCAGGAGGAACAACCAGTTGCAGCAGCAGCACACTCAGAGATGGTTAAGTGTAACCAGGAGGAACAACCAGTTGCAGCAGCAGCACACTCAGAGATGGTTGAGTGTAGTCAGGAGGAACAACCAGTTGCAGCAGCAGCACACTCAGAGATGGTTGTGTAGTCAGGAGGAACAACCAGTTGCAGCAGCAGCACACTCAGAGATGGTTGAGTGTAGTCAGGAGGAACAACCAGTTGCAGCAGCAGCACACTCAGAGATGGTTGAGTGTAGTCAGGAGGAACAACCAGTTGCAGAAAGCAGCACCCCTCAGAGATGGTTGAGTGTAGTCAGGAGGAACAACCATTTTGCAGCAGCAGCACACTCAGAGATGGTTGAGTGTAGTCAGGGGGAACAACCAGTTTGCAGCAGCAACCCCACTCAGAGATGGTTGAGTGTAGTCAGGAGGAACAACCAGTTGCAGCAGCAGCACACTCAGAGATGGTTGAGTGTAGTCAGGAGGAACAACCAGTTGCAGCAGCAACACACTCAGAGATGGTTGAGTGTAGTCAGGAGGAACAACCAGTTGCGGCAGCAGCACACCCGGGTGTTGTGGAGGCTGCTAGGGAACCCCCCTCCACCACCACCATTCTTCATAGAAAACTTCCATCAACAATCCCAAACTTGTAAATAAGTTAATTTAGGTACAAGTACACATAAGTACAGTTACACAACTTATTATATATATAGTAACATGTGTGTAAATTACCTACGGTAACCCCAGTGGAAATGTCACTTTGACTTTTCTGGATTATCTTAGGTAATCTACACAAATTATTATGTATAATAGTTTATGTAACTATTTATGTGTACCTGTACATGAATAAACTTACTTACTAACCCCCCAAAAAAAGTCAGTGATTTATTTCCATTAGGGTCATTGTAATAATAATAATAATAATAATAATAATAATAATAATAATAATAATAATAATAATAATAATAATAATAATCTTTATTTCTACATACAAGGTATACAGTCCCAGCTGACATCAGTAACATACTACTATATAGAAAGCCGCTTGTTATATTGAGCATTTCAGGCACATTAGGTCAGTTTTGTCCCAGGATGCGACCCACACCAGTATACTAACACCTAGGTATCAATTATTACTAATGGGTGAACAGGGGCACCAGGTGTGACACACCCAGGTACCTACCTACTGCTAAATGAATAGGGGCAGCAGGTGTGACACACCCAGGTACCTACCTACTGCTAGATGAACAGGGGCAGCAGGTGTGATACACCCAGGTACCTACCTACTGCTAGATGAGCAGGGGCAGCAGGTGTGACACACCCAGGTACCTACCTACTGCTAGATGAACAGGGGCAGCAGGTGTGATACACCCAGGTACCTACCTACTGCTAGATGAACAGGGGCAGCAGGTGTGACACACCCAGGTACCTACCTACTGCTAGATGAACAGGGGCAGCAGGTGTGATACACCCAGTAAACCCAAACCCACTGCTAGATGAGCAGGGGCAGCAGGTGTGACACACCCAGGTACCTACCTACTGCTAGATGAACAGGGGCAGCAGGTGTGATACACCCAGGTACCTACCTACTGCTAGATGAACAGGGGCAGCAGGTGTGACACACCCAGGTGCCTACCTACTGCTAGATGAATAGGGGCAGCAGGTGTAAGGAAACATGCCCAACGTTTCCACCCGTGCAGGGACTAGATCCCGGACCCTCAGTTTGTGAAATAAGCCAGCACATGAGGAGAGGATACCTGGACCTGGAGTTTACCTGGAGAGAGTTCCGGGGGTCAACGCCCCCGGTTTAATCCGAGAAAGAAAATAGTAGTAGTGATGAGGTAGTAAAGAGTTAGTAGTAGCTGACACACTTGAACAGGAAGCAGAGACAGATGAAAGCCAAAACGGGAGGGAGGAGAAAGGAGCAGTAATAGTCAATCAGTTAATAAGCTTTATTTCACTTTATGCAGTACAGCATAAACACTAAACCAGTAGCAGTAGCACTAGCAGCAGCAGTAGCAACATCAGTAGCAACAGCAATATCAGCAGCAATAGCAACAGCAATAGCAGCAGCAGTAGCAGCAGCAATAGCAGCAGCAGCAGCAGTAGCAGCAGCAGTAACAGCAGCAATAGCAGCAGCAGTAGCAGCAGCAGTAGCAGCAGCAGTAGCAGCAGCAATAGCAGCAGCAGTAGCAGCAGCAATAGCAGCAGCAGTAGCAGCAGCAGTAACAGCAGCAATAGCAGCAGCAATAGCAGCAGCAGTAGCATTAGCAGTAGCAGCAGCAGTAGCAGCAGCAGTAGCAGCAGCAATAGCAGCAGCAATAGCAGCAGCAGTAGCAGCAGCAATAGCAGCAGCAGTAGCAGCAGCAGTAACAGCAGCAATAGCAGCAGCAGTAGCAGCAGCAATAGCAGCAGCAGTAGCAGCAGCAATAGCAGCAGCAGCAGCAGTAGCAGCAGCAATAGCAGCAGCAGTAGCAGCAGCAATAGCAGCAGCAGTAGCAGAAGCAGTAGCAGCAGCAATAGCAGCAGCAGTAGCAGCAGCAATAGCAGCAGCAGTAGCAATAACAGCAGCAGTAGCAGCAGCAATAGCAACAGCAATAGCAGCAGCAGTAGCAGCAGCAGTAGCAGCAGCAGTAGCAGCAGCAGTAGCAGTAGTAGTTCATAAGAACTAGGTGACAAAAGCACTGCTGAGCTACTGGTTCACAGGCGTAAGAAAAAACCCTTATAATACAAAATTCCCACAAACAAAACCCACTTAGGCAGAAGACAAGAGAGACAATGACAATACCGGAAAGTTTAAGAGGAAGCAAAGATCAGGTCATATCACAAGTGTTCTGAAGTTCAGGGTCTCTGACAGTATAATAATCTGAGAGAGCCATAGTATTCCCTGGATTTAACCCGGAGCCTTGCGATTGTGAACTGAACGAGTTATTGTTGGTTTTACTATAATATTCTTCAGGTTATACAAACTAATATAATAGTTGCAATAAACATGTAATTGTTATAAATATTCACTGGTAAATTATGTAGATTTACCATAGAATAATCCAAAGTTATCAAACTTACTTCCAGTGGGGTACCAAACTTATTACCTGGAGTTTACCTGGAGAGAGTTCCGGGGGTCAACGCCCCCGCGGCCCGGTCTGTGACCAGGCCTCCTGGTGGATCAGAGCCTGATCAACCAGGCTGTTGCTGCTGGCTGCACGCAAACCAACGTACGAGCCACAGCCTGGCTGGTCAGGAACCGACTTTAGGTGCTTGTCCAGTGCCAGCTTGAAGACTGCCAGGGGTCTGTTGGTAATCCCCCTTATGTATGCTGGGAGACAGTTGAACAGTCTTCATAATCGTCAAAGTATGTCTATAAAAAAAATGATTAACATGATGTAAAAATATAAAAACAAGTCTATAATAACATGTAAATTTAACGTAAGTTAAGCTTACTTGAGTTACTACAACAGTGTTGTAAGCAGAGATGTTATAATATTACCTTTCCTTCAAGGACTTTTATGCTAACAAGGGGGTCTTGATTCAAGGAGTCGGAGCTAACTTCCCTCTTCCTGGATCAAACCTAATAACCCTCCGCCATATCCCATGCGCTGTATGACCTCTACACACTGAGAGCTTCCTCATAAATATAATGAAATTACATATAACTGCTCATTTCCATTTTATAATATAAATCACTTAGAAGTGATTTATATTATAAAATGGAGCTACATTATCTCACTAATGAGGGACGTTATGACTCCCTACAGGTTTAGCGCTCTCCCCCAATAAATGTAACTGCAATATTAATAATATCAGTTAACGATGTGTTCACACACTGTCCTATCTTCAAGGATGCAGAACTTTGACTGTAACTGGTGTTCTTGCTGAAAGTCGAAGATCTAAATGATTTTTTTATGAGAGAGCCACAGAATTTGGTTAACACAAGTCTATCTGATGTTATCCTGACGCCAAATGACTTCGAACAGGCGACAAATGATATGCCTGTGCACTCTGCCTCAGGGCCAGACTCATGGAACTCCGTGTTCATCAAGAACTACAAGGAGCCCCTATCACGAGCTTTTACCATCCTATGGAGAGGGAGCATGGCCACTGGGGTCGTCCTACAGTTACTAAAAACAACAGACATAGCCCCACTCCACAAAGGGGGCAGTAAAGCAACAGCAAAGAACTACAGACCGATAGCACTAACATCCCATATCATAAAAATCTTTGAAAGAGTCCTAAGAAGCAAGATCACCACCCATTTAAACCCATCAGTTTTCAAACCCAGGGCAACAAAGGGTTTAGAACAGGTCGCTCCTGTCTGTCCAACTAAATTGGGTCACTACGACAAGGTCCTAGATGCACTAGAAGACAAAAAGAATGCAGATGTAATATATCCCGACTTTGCAAAAGCCTTCGACAAGTGTGACCATGGGGTAATAGCGCACAAAATGCGTGCTAAAGGAATAACAGGAAAAGTCGGTCGATGGATCTAAAAATTTCCTCACTAACAGAACAGAGAGAGTAGTAGTCAACAGAGTCAAGTCCGAGGTAGGCACGGTGAAAAGCTCTGTTCCACAAGGCACAGTACTCGCTCCCATCTTGTTCCTCATCCTCATATCTGACATAGACAAGGATGTCAGCCACAGCACCGTGTCTTCCTTTGCAGATGACACCCGAATCTGCATGACAGTGTCTTCCATTGCAGACACTGCAAGGCTCCAGGCGGACATCAACCAAATCTTTCAGTGGGCTGCAGAAAACAATATGAAGTTCAACGATGAGAAATTTCAATTACTCAGATATGGTAAACACGAGGAAATTAAATCTTCATCAGAGTACAAAACAAATTCTGGCCACAAAATAGAGCGAAACACCAACGTCAAAGACCTGGGAGTGATCATGTCGGAGGATCTCACCTTCAAGGACCATAACATTGTATCGATCGCATCTGCTAGAAAAATGACAGGATGGATAATGAGAACCTTCAAAACGAGGGATGCCAAGCCCATGATGGCACTCTTCAGGTCACTTGTTCTATCTAGGCTGAAATATTGCTGCACACTAACAGCACCTTTCAAGGCAGGTGAAATTGCTGACCTAGAAAATGTACAGAGAACCTTCACGGCGCGCATAACGGAGATAAAACACCTCAATTACTGGGAGCGCTTGAGGTTCCTAAACCTGTATTCCCTGGAACACAGGCGGGAGAGATACATGATTATATACACCTGGAAAATCCTAGAGGGACTAGTACCGAACTTGCACACGAAAATCACTCAC